AAAAAAAAAAAAAAAAAAGGAAAGAAAGAAAAGCTGAACACAACCCCCCCCCCCCCTTTTTAACTATGCAATGCTTGGTTGGGATTAAAATAATAACGAGCAGAATCCCGGTACAGGGGGTGTGCAGGGGGAAACGGAGAGGAGGGGGAGATTTAAAAATAAAGCGAGCCCGAGCTCGTGGGCAGAGCGGCGTCACCAGGGAAAATTATGTTAATTGCGGCCGGGTGGCCAGCGGCCTAGGCGGAAAGGGGGCCAAGTTGCCCTCGCGCCGCCCGCGGGGCCCCTAGGTGCCCGTTTGGACTGCTAGAGCGTTCGGGCATCGTCGGAGCGGAGCCCCCCGCCCGTGCCCCTACAGGCCTAGGAACCGCGGCTCGCTCAGGAGCTGCTGCTTCCCCCGCCTGCTCCTCGCCTCGCGGGGCTCCTGTTGGAGTTCCCATTGGGAATGGACTTGGAGAGGAGCGGCTGGGGGCGGAGGGGCAGAGGGGTAGCACGAGGAAGAGGTGGGAGCAAAACCAGGCTCCGCAGTCCCGCGCAACTTTCGCCTCAAGTTTTGCGCAGGTGACGGTTCGGGCTTCGCAGGCCGCGCAGGGAGGGTGCGGGGCAAGAGATGTGGGCGCTTATAGGGTGGGGGGTGGGGGGGTGCCGGCAGGGGGTGCCGGGCACCGATATCGCCGTTCTGGACACGCCGTCACTGCTGGCGGGGACGCGGCTGTCGCTGTCGCCACGGGAGATATACGCGCTGTGGCCCGCGGGCGACCGCCCAAAAGCGCAGCTCGCCAAGAGGCGACGGGGGAAGGGCCGGGGGGGCGGCGAGTAGGAGAGAGGCGAAGGGCGAGGAATAGACGTGTCGGCAGTTTTTATTCTCTCCCCCCCCCCCTTTTTTTTTTTTTTTTTTTTTTTTTTTTTTTTTTTTTTTTTTTTTGAGCTATTTTGCTTTTCTATCGCAATTATCTCCCCTCCTTTAACTCTGGCGCTCGCTCCTTTGGGTTAAGTGCTGACTGGGCGGCTGGAGGGTGTGGGAAGAGGTGGCGGGGATTCGCGTTTAGCAAAGCAAGCAAAGGAGCGGCCACAAAGGCACTCGGGGCTCTGCCGGGAGGATCTGTCCCGAGGGCTCCTCTGGGCACCTTTGGGCTGGTGCCATGAAAATACAAGTGCCCACGAACCTGGGCCTTTGGGGAGGACTCGCACCGGACAACAGGGGCTTCCTAGGGAGTGGATGAGGGCTCAAGGAGTGCGGGGCTCCCCTGCGCAGCCCCCGGAGCCCCGACGGCAGCGTCTCGACCAAGCGACATCGTTACTGTGATTTTGTTCTGACTTTGTATGAACTGCTCTCACATAAATCTTCTGCTATAAGATAGTTCACATTTTGGAACCCCGGCGCTCAGGAGTCCAGTGGAGGCGAGAAGAACGACAGCCACGGACTGTTTTTTTAAAGACTTCTCTGTAGGTGAGGTACCCTATAGGTTTTTGCATATGGATCTCCTCTGACCTATTTTGAGTATTAGAAGTGCTTCAGATTCTGTATGGAACTCTGTTCAAGTGCAAACATTTGTTTTAACCTTAAAGAGCAGCAGAGAAAACAAAACCTTAAGAAAATCCTTGTGCGCTTGTATATTGAGTTCCTGTAAGAAGTTTCTGGGCTCTCTGTTTATTTCCATATTTACTTTTGTTGCAGCAATTTTTTTTTCTTTAAAAATGTAGCTCCTTTACACTTCTCGCAAAATCAGCAGCAAATGTTGCGATCTGACTGAATTTCCCTTCAAAGGGAGCGCAGGAAATATTTTCCATTTAAAATACTCCCTCCAAGTTGCAGCCATAAATCACGAAGTTTAAAGACAAGCCAGTAGCAAAAGGAAAATACTCAGCTGAAATGCAAGGCAGCAGAGCTCATGGTTGGGGTAGTGGAAAATAAAGTCACTTTGGGTGACTTTAGGGTAGGAATGACTTCCTACAACTTGGGCGAGCTATGAATGTAGAGGGAAACATGGGACCAGGCGCAATATTGAGCCAAACTCACCAGGTCTCTGATGTCTGATCCAGCAAATAGGAGGCAGCGGTGGAGTTTGAGAAAGGAAAAGAGCTGGAAAAACAAAATTAGGAAACTTCAGTCAGAAAAGCGTGGACAGGGAAACTCATCCCACGGGGAAATATTTGAAGGAGGGGGAGTAGGGAGAATATGGGCTCGAATGAACCACCACAACAACAAGAACCAGCACAAAAGCGTATATTCTCTGAGATTATTTCTCCCCCAAGGATCCATAGCTTTTTCCAGGCATTGCTGCATCCCGTGCACATTTGTAAGCAGAATTGTCACCGGAGCTGGAGGAGATGGCGCTCGTGGCTCTAACCCCAATCCGCGTCTGCCCCAAACGACCCCCAGCTCCCCGCGTGGACACCCGTCTCGAGGGGAGAGAGGCGAAGGGGACGCTTTTTGCCCCTCTGCGTTTCAAAGTTGTGCAACCAAAGTTGCTTTTCGACCCGTTACAGAGCAGAGCATTGAGGAGAATCGCAGGCGTTTCTTGCAGAGGGTGGCAAAGCCTGAACGCAACTTGGAGGAAAAAAATATAAATTGTGAGAGCTTGTAGTTAAATACAGCTGGTGAATTCAGTATTAAATGCATTTAATAAATGAAATATATGCAGTTAATTAGCTCTGGGTTCAACAATGGTTAAATAGTAGGGAAAATTCCAAGCCATTTTCATCAAAGGCACGAAAGCCTCGAGAACTCCGAATAAGCCTCGCTGTGTTCCCCGATGCGGGGGCGATGGCCGCGGTGGGGGTGCTGGTGGTTTATGGCGGCCGCAGCCCCCGTTCACACATGAGCRAGTTGGGATCAGAATTAACGGGATCAAGTCGTAAACATTTTTAAAGCTACACCGAGATTTATAGCCACAACTTTGGCACGGAGGCTTCCGAGAGAAGGAGAGAAGAGGAGAAAGAAAAAGCAATCTCATTTAAAAATATTTTCGTTTGGGGAAACATTCAGTCGCTTTAATAATCCCGTTTCCGTTCTCTATGTTGATGTTATTAATCTCAAATAAAAATGTTCCCCTCCCACCCCTACCCTGCTCGTGACACCCTCCCGAGTCCATAAATCACCACGGATGCGTCGCGACCCTCCCGCGGCGGCGGCCCGGAGCTCTAGTTTTTGTTAGGCTTATTATTATCACATGCGCTCCCGCTTAATACACCGCGCGGGCGCCATCCCGCCTCCATCGCGGCCTTCCCGGCCAGTGGGGACTCTGCGTCCCCTCCGCAGACCAGAGGAGCTGGAAAGAGGGGGAAAAAAAAGGGGGGGAGGGAGGGGGAGAAAGAAAGGAAGAGGGARAGGGAGAGCGACGCGCAGTCCTTGCCCGCCCGTGGCGCTCCGCGCAGGACACGCGCGGTGAGGTGGCAGCGCGGGGGAGCGGTTGTGTTGCGGGAGGGGGGGGCGGACGGGACAAACAAATAAAAAGGAGATGCCGCAAATAATGGCTCCAGTGTGTGTGTGGGGGGGGAAGTGCTTTTTTTTCCTTGTTTTTCTTTGTTTATTTTTTTTTACTGGATCCCCTCGCGGAACGTGCAGGGGAGGGACGGAGGGAGCGCCTCTCCCCGCGGGGCTCTTTGTTTTCCTCTGCCTTTTTTTTTTTTTTTTTTTTTTTTTTTGTCCCCCGCCAGCCCCTTCCCATGGACTCGGCACTCGCCTTCGTCCTTTCTGTGCCTATAGGGAAGGAACTGGGGATCCCTCCCAAAGAGAACCCAAGGTTGAGGGGAGGAGGGGGGACGAGGATCTGCTGCAGTCCCAAACAGAAGCCAACTCGGATAAGAAATGAAAATGAGCGGGGTTTCCTCGACAGATTAGACCTCTTTCTCCCCGTGACCTTTGCTTGGAGGAGCAATAACTCACCGGGTTAATGATCAATCCGCGGAAGCGCGTTTGAATCGACTCCAAAAAATAAAGCAAAACACCCAGGAGGCGGTCACGGAGCCCCAGGTCCCGCCGGGCCTGGGGCCTCCCCGGGCCCCGCAGCGCCCACGCTTTGGGGGTGATGGGGGTGAAGAGGGGGAGCAGGGGGGGAGAGGGCAATGGGCGGCATCAGGGTGCTACAAATGGCTATTTTGGGATCAAATATATCCTGGGAATCACCAGCCCCATATTTATGCTCTCCCCCCCTCTTCCAAATGCCAAAATAACAGCGTGAAATATGTGCCCACGTGACCAGGACACGTCAACCTTTTGCCCATTTTATACAGAATTGGTAAATGCCACGCTCCCCCCTACAGCCCCGCTAATCCCCCGGCAGCGAATTTCCCATTTCCCGGGGCCGGGACGGCCTCGCTCCCGGCGGCTCCGTGAGCTTCAGTCCTTCTTCTCCCTTTTTTTTTTTTTTTTTTTTTTTTTTTTCTCCCCCTCTCTTTCCTATGGAAGCGGAGGAAGGAGCCCAAGTCCCGGGAACGAGACCGCAGTAGCCAAGTAGTCAGCACGCCTCAAGGCTTCATCCCAGGCACACGGCAGGGAAGGATGGAGTCGGCTCCGAGCGCAGGGAAAGGGGAGCAAGGTCCGTGGGGGCGGCTCTGGTCCCGGGCCCCACAGCCGCCCTCCACTCGCCCGAGTTTCTTGTCTTTTTA